TCAATTGCTTGTTTCCCATATGTGCCCTGACTAGGGATCAAACCCCCAACCTTTTGGTATATGGGATGATGCTCCAAACAATCTAGCAACCTAACCACCCAGCCAGGGCAACTTAAACAATCTTGAACAAGAACAAAGCTGAAGGCACTACAATTCCTGACTTCAAGCTGTATTACAAAGCTACACTAATTGAAACAGTACGATATTGGCATAAAAACAGAAACAGAGACCAATGGAACAGAATAGAGAGTTCTGAAATATACCCACATAGGTGGTCTACTAATTTTTGACAAAATTGCCAAAAATATACAATGGAGAAAGGATAGTGTCTTTAATGAGTGGTGTTAGGAATACTGGATATTCACATGAGGAAGAAGAAGAAGAAGAAGAAGAAGAAGAAGAAGAAGAAGAAGAAGAAGAAGAAGAAGAAGAAGAGGAAGGAGGAGGAGGAGGAGGAGGAGGAGGAGGAGGAGGAGGAGGAGGAGGAAGAAATTGGACCATTGTCTTACAACATACAAAGAATCAATTCAAAATGGATTAAAAACTTAAACATTAGATCTGATCAGTGAAGTCCACATGGGGAAAAGGAAAAATAAACAAGTGGAACTACATCAAACCAAAAAGCTCTGCATAGCAAAAGAAACAATTAACAAAATGAAAAGGCAACACACAAAATATTTGCAAATCATATATCTGATAAGGGGTTAATATGCAAAATATATAAGGGACACATAGAACTCAATGGCAAAAACACAACAACAAAATACCAAATTTAAAAATGGGCAAAGGAACTGAATAAACATTTTCCCAAAAAAGACATACAAGTGGCCGACAGGTACATGAAAAGATGTTCAACTAATCATCTAATCATCAGGGAAATGCAAACCACCTGACAATGAGATATCACTTGACACCTGTTAGGATGGTTATTATCAGAAAGTCAAGACAGCAAGTGTTGGTTGGAATGTGGAGGAGAGGGAACCCTTGTCCATTGTTGGTGGAAAGTAAATTAGTGCAGCCATTATGGAAAATTGTGTGAGGGTTCCTTAAAAAAAACAGCAATCTAATTCTGAGTATACATATCCAAAAGAAATAAATCACTATCCCAAAGAGATATCTGTTCTCCATGCTATTGAAGCATTATTCACAATACCCAAGATATGAAAATCAGCCTAAGTATCTATGGACAAATGGATGAAAAAAGAAACATGATACATATACACAATGGAATATTATTCAGCCTTTAAAAAGAAGAAAAGCTTGCCATTTGCAATAACATGGATGAACCTAGAGGATATTACACTAAGTAAAAAAGCCAGACACAGATAAATATCACATGATCTCACATATATGTGAAATCTAAAAAAATAAATTCAAACTCATAGTAGTAGGGAGTAGAATGGTAGTTACCAGAGGCTGGGAAGTAGGGGGGAGAGAGATATATTAATAAAAAAAAGAACACACTTTCAGTTATGAGATAAACAAGTTCTAGATCCCTGACTTGTTTGGCTCAGTGAATAGAGGGTCAGCCTGTGGACTCAAGGGTCCCAGGTTTGATTCCAGTCAAGGGCATGTACCTTGCTTGTGGGCACATCCTCAGTGGAGAGTGTTCAGGAGGCAGCTGATTGATGTTTCTCTCTCATCGATGTTTCTAACTCTCTCTCCCTCTCCCTTCCTGTCTGTAAAAAATCAATAAAATATTTTAAAAATACTTTTGGATTATAACCCAGAGTAAGTATTAGTATACACAAGTCCATATTGCTATATATATATTCAATATCTATATCTATATCTATATCATCTATATCTATCTATATCTATATCTATATCTATATCTATATCTATATCTATATCTATATCTATATCAAACCCTAATATACAAATAGACCTAACGGCAGAGCAACTGAACAACTGGTCGCTATGATATGCACTGATCACCAGGAGACACCTACAGACAGCACAGAGCTATCAGGATCTGTGCCAGGCATCAGCAGCAAGTGTGAATGCCAGGTGGGACCACAGTGCATGGGAGCAAAGAATTTTCAGTAACCACCAGAGGCTTGCTCCAATGACAGCAACCTGGACCCTCCTAGAGTGGCGCCCATGCTCACCTGCTCCACCATCCTGCTGCCAATACCTGCCATGTTCTGCACTCTTCCACCTGCTGCTGATGCCCATCATGTTCCATGTGTGTCCCCTGGTGGTTAGTGCATATCATAGCGACCAGTTGTTCAGTTGCTCCTGAGGCCTTCTCTACCTTCTCCTGCTCCTAAGGGGTGATCAGGGCAGCAGGCACCACTTATACCCGCTGCTGTCGCCAATCAGCTATTGGCAGACAGGACCAGGGGTCACAGTGGGAGGAGCCAGGTGAGATGAGCTGAGACCTGCCCCTATGCCCACCACAGCCTTGGGGCCCACAGTTCTTTTCAAGGTGCACAAATTAGTACACTGGGCCACTAGTAAAATAATAAATGGGAGAAAGAGATTAATATCTCATGAATAATAATTCCAAGTAAATATACTCTCCCCTAAAGGAGGTGGAACATAACTCATCACACCTTAGGGTGAGCTTCACACTGTGAATTCCTTCCAAAGAGTACAGTATGAAAAGAGGTATAAAAGTAACTTTAGAGTGGAAAGATCCAACTAACACCGCCTCAGCCAGGTGATCAAGGTCAACATCAACAGTTGTAAATCACGTGGATGACACATAGCCTTAATAAAATGTGATCAAAATGGTACTTAATCTTCCTTATCCAACCCATAGATTCAGTCTAGCCATAGGAAAAGATCAAATTCCAATAGAGTGGCATCGACAGTAGACTTGACTAGCACTTCTAAAAATGGTCAAGTTCATGACAAACAAGGAAAATCTGAGAATATTGTCACAGCCAAGATGCACAAAATTTCTATTACAGCTCATGCTTTATTCTCAAATACAAAATATTAACATCAGCAGTTATCCTCTAGGTCAGAGGTTCCCAGAGTTTCTCAGTTCATAGGCCATTAGTGTCCTAGTAATTTTTTTCTACACATTCTTAGGCCAAAACAAATGCTTAGAAACTGCATTTATTAAGTGGTTAAGTCCAAATGACTTAATAGTAGCTCTCTGCTCAGTGCCTGACAGATGATGCCATTTCCCTCTATGTCCAACAGATGTCTCTGTGCTTCCATTGTGTCCCCGTGAGTTTGTAGTAGTGTCCAGGGCACCTCAGTGCACAGTTTAGGAACTGCAGCTCTAGGTATTAAACTCTGATGGATCACACATGATAATCATCTGGCATGACCAATCATAGGTAAACTGACTGGATAGTGTTCAAACTCACTGTTTCTATATCATGATAAAGCATTGCATGCAGTACTCAGTTCAATGTTAAATGGCAACATTGCTTTCAGCTCATTATCATAGCAGCCCTCTTCACTCGCTGTACTGAAGATATTCCTTGTTGTTTTAGTCAGAGAGACAGAACCAATAGAAGGCATGTGTATATACATATAGAGAGTCATTGTAAGGAATTGGCTTGTGTGATTGTGGAGACTGACAAATCCAAATCTGCAGTGTGGGCTGCAGTCTCAAGACCCAGTAGAGCTGATGTTGCAGATGAAGTCCGAAGGCAGTCTGCTGGAGAACTTCTTGTTCAAGGAGGCCAGTCTTTTTGTCTATTCAGCACTTCAACTGATTGGATGAGACTCACCCACATTATGGAAGGATATCTGCTTACTCAAAGTTTCATAATGTAAATTTTTAAAAATATATTTTTTATTGGTTTCAGAAAGGAAGGGAGAGGGAGAGAGATAAACAAAACAAAACAAAACAAAAAACATCAATGATGAGAGGGAATTATGGATCAGCTGCCTCCCACACTCCCCTGGGTTGCAGATAGAGCCCGAAACCCAGGCATGGGCCCAGACCAGAAGTTGAATTGTGACTTCCTTATTTATAGGTTGATGCCCAATCACTGCAAATGCATTAATCCTTCCTTCAGAAGAGGAGGCAGTCCTCAACAGATGTTTAGTCTTCTTAATATCCTGTAACTTAAGTACTATTCCATATAAAGTCCCATAAACTATGACATAGTCCTAGCCCATTTGACTCAGTAGATAGAGCATCACCCCTTGGACTAAAGGGTCCCATGTTCTATTTCAGTCAAGGACACGTACCTCGGTTGCAGGCTCAATGCCCAGCCCTAATTGGAGCTTGTGTGGAAGGCAACCAATCAATGTATCTCCTTTACATTGATGTTTCTCTCTCTGTCTCTCTCCCACTTCCTTCCACTTTTTCTAAAAGTCAATGGAAAAGTATCACCAGGTGAGGATTAACAAACACACAAACACACACACAACTATGATGTAAGTCAACATACCTTATGTTACATGATAAGAAGAAAAAGATATTTGCTTAATATATACATATACAAACATGCATAATAAAATAAGAGAAAAATACTCATGACAATTATAGTCCATTACTGTAACTGGTCACATGGTCATAGCTGGTATTTATAACTACCCTTTCTAATACCTATTCTGCATTTTCTTTGCCCTCAGCAAGCACCTCAGCTGGTCATGGTTCCTTATCTGGAACCTATCCCAAAGTAGTTGGGATAATACCAACTACTTCCCATCTCTGCAATCTTTTCAGGTGCGTGTTGTTACTTTGGTTCACTCTTTTCCAGGTAGGGGAAGTTCTGGTGGCTTTCACATGGCCTTTCCCACATAATATCCCTCACTCCCAGGCCAGGGACCAGTGTGGGGATGCTGCCAGCTGCTCAGTGTATCTATCATACTCACACACCCCAGAACTGGGGAGTGACCATGGGAAGGATCTGGGGACTCCCTGGGCCCATGGTGAGATGGATTTGCTAACCTGACCTCCACAAGCCCCTTCTCTGACTGGTGGGCCACAGGGACACTGGGTCCCCTGGAATCTGTCGGGTCAGAGCCAGTGTGCAGTGGTCCCCCAAAGATCTGATTATTTCCTTTCCCCCAGTGCAGTTAGAGAAGGCTGGGAGAAAGATTAGCGTGTAAACATTTGGTGGTGCACGGGAGTCCCTCATAGGGGGACCCAACCTCCCCTTCATTCAAGTGGCATTGGGCTATAAACTGGCTCAAGTCTGAGAACTGATTAAAGAGCCACAATTCTCTATTTGTATGATTCAAATTAAACTTTATTCATCTGACCTAGAATTTTTCTGCTTATATAGAACACCATGATCAGTGAGCTAACATCACGGCTCTGTGCATATAGGACTATTGTAATTGCTGCTTTGACTCTTCATTCAGTAACCACACCCACCTTGCCTTTGTCGATTGAGTGCCTCCATTTTCCCCTGCCATTCCAGGGATCCAGTTACCCCCATTGCATTCAGGTTTCCCAATTCAGTGGCTGCAGGTACCCCTGTGAGGTCTGGCCTGCAGGGAAGAGTGAACTCAGAGCTCTCCTAGAATGCTGGGCTCACTCTCAAAAAAAAAATTTGTCTTTTCCCAGGGTGGGCGAGTAGGTCTCAATGACAAATCTATGCCAACATTCCAATCCCCCTCTGCATTACACCAAAGCAGGCTCAGTCTTTCTAACTCACTCTCGGTGGGTCTCCTTTTAGTGCATGCTTTGGCCACACAGACTGGTAGAGCCCTTCCTGACTCTGGGAACAGTAGATGCAGATGTAACATTAAATGCAGAATCCCTGCTTCGTGAACCCATATCAATCAATTTACCTGATGCAAATGTATGTTCCTCCCATCATTACCCCACCCTCAATATCCAAGCCTAGATTTCTATCGGTTCGAATTAGAAAACTCAAGAGGTTCTTTTGGGGTGCGTGTCCATCCTCATGGGTCACGCTTTGTACTTCACCTGTAGGAGTCTGCCGGGACTTACCGTAAGTCTAGTTATAGAAACAGAGAGGGCGGTGGAATGGGGTTCTGAGGAAATCAGCATTGTCTTGCTTGACAGCCGCCTCAGGGAAGGCCATGACCCTTTCCTCAGCAATACAGGGTTAATACCCTGGGGTGAGCAAAGAGGTCCCTCTTACTGAGGGGTGGGGGTAGGGGTGGAGGAGTAGGGGAAGACTGTGGCCACTGCCAAAGAAAACTAATCAGAATTCGGGGTCCCAGTTCCATCAGGGTCTTCTCATACACCCCCATTCAAGTGTTCAGGATCACATTCCTTCTCCATCAATGCCTTTAACAGTAGACACCCGCAAGTCTCAGGATGAGGTTGTGAGTTTGATTTTTAGCCATCGCAGCCCTGTGGCTACAGGAGGTAGGAGTTCCCCTCCAGGCAGATGTAGAAGCTTTCAGGTCATTTGTGGGGCTTCTGAGTCACAAGAGTTAGACTACAGAATTACTGGAATTGTCAGGAATCAGATGCTATTTCCACTGAGGCTGCTTAGCTGGTAGGACGTAAACTGGAGGGCCTGGGGTCATTGTGGCCTTCACTTGGAAGCCGTTTTTGAGAAATAGTCCCAGTCAACATCTGTTCTTTCCACTTCACTACCCACTTCTCCCCAATGTAGCCACGTGGCTACCATCATTCAAACACATTCTCCTTGGTTATGGAATAGCACTTGTTTTATTGCCAGTAGAAAATGGCCTAGAACAGTATGTAGGACAGAAGGCAGAGCAGGAGCCAGAGTCTGGGGCCACTGGGCTCTGGGAATTCTGAGGCCTTGGATCTCATCTGTGTCTCTGGGGGAGGAGCTCTCACCTCCTCAGTTCTCACTTTCTCAGGGTCATAGGACCTTCCCTCTACCTCCGTCACCTTCTTGATCCAGGGGCCATAATTATATAACAAGGTGTAAATTCCTGGAATGTTCTTCTGCCCACAGCTCCTTCCCCAGCTGATGATGCCCACCTGGTACCACTTCCTGTCAGATTCTGTGGTGCAGACCAGGGGCCCTCCACTGTCACCCTGTGGGCAGAGAACACAGTTCAGTAGCAAGTCTCATTCTCAACTGCCCATTTGTGCAGTAACTTTCACGGATGGAAGAGGATCCCTTGGCCTCCCCTCCTCAAGACTGTCAAAGGGAATCTGTCATTACTGCCCACTGCCCACCTCAATCCTGGGCCCCTGGGGGAGTGTGTTGCTGTCAGGCTGGCTCTGGGAACTGTAGGCTGTAGAGTAGGGGTGTCGAACTCAATCAGAGAAGGGGCCAAAACCTAAAATCCAGCCTAAATCGTGGGCCGAATGGTTTACTGAACAGTCATAAACTGTCATTGTGATGGAAACGCAGCGGAGTGCAGTGATGACAGCGTGGTGCGGGCCACATTGCAAGGCCTGGCGGGACGGATTTGGCCCGCGGGCCTTGTGTTTGACACATGTGCTGTAGAGTGTGGGCAGTGGATAGGGTAGGACTGAATATTGAGGAGGAGGAGGGAGAGGAAGAGAAAGAGGAAATGGAAGAAGGGCCTGGTGAAAAATAACTCCAGCTGCAGATGGGAGCTAGAAGATGGAGTAAATATGCACAGGACTAGAGAAGCGGGGAGATGGCCTCCTCTTCCATGATCATAAACAGGTGACTAGAATGATTGGACTCTGGCAGGGGGAGGAGCAGTAGAACTAACATTTCCTGGATATGTGAGAAGCATTGTGTTAGCCCCTTAACTTTCTTTTTCAACCCCACCACCTCATATCTCTGTGAGGTAGGTATTTTGATTCTTGTTTTCTACTAAAATCATACTATGTCAAAAGAGGTTTTTCATTGAAGAAAAACTAATTGTTAGGCAACGGGGATATAAGACCTTATGCTCTAGTGGGGGAGATAATATAAACAAGTAGGATTAACTGTGTTTGATGAAGCAGGAGAAGTATGAACAAATCTAGAGTCAGTGCAGAGGGGGAGGAACTGATTCTGTTGAGGGAAAGTTCTGTCAGAAGAAACTCCAAGGCACTTTGTTTGAAGAATGACTAGGAATTTAACAGAAAGAGTGTGTGGGACTGTGTAGAGAGGAGCCAGAGAGAAGGTAGAGGGACTGGTTAAGATGAGGTAAAATGATGAGTATCTGAAGGTCAGGATGAAGAGGAATGAATTAAAACCCACCTGATCTGATGACCTAGATGTTGGTGACTAGCTCCCAGGTCAAAGTGTGCTAATAGAGATAAAGTGTAGGAGAAGATAATTAATAAAGTGTTTTCAAGTGGAGGTTGGGTTGGCTCTGCATCACCAAATAGAGGGTTAAATAGAGCAGAATTACAGAGAGGTTGGAGTTCAAGGATACAGTTAGCTTTGGCCAAAATCAAAATTCCTCTTTCCATACACAGTGTTGCTCTACTACTTGTCTGTTTTTTGTGGGCGTGTGTTTTTTTGGTGCTAGTTCTGTTTCAAAGTCATGGGGCAAGAACCAAATCAACAGGATCTCTATCCAAATAGCTCCTCCCATAAATGATATTTTATAATTTCCTTCAATTTTATGAAGGCATCTATGTTATAAAATTTTTATTAATAGGTTGTCTTGATTATTTATTTCCTTACATATTAAGGAGAGAACTGTCCTTGAGCAAGTAACTTTTTAAAGCCTCAGTTTCCATGTCATTAAAATAGGGATAATACCAACTACTTCCCAAGGTTGTCAGCAGATGAAATTTTTAAAATTCTGTAAATCACTCACAAAGTACTGTTACTAGCCAGTATATGTGTGATGTTATATTTTGCTTGAGTATGCCACTTAAAAATGATTATTTTTTTTAATTTAACTTTTTTTTTCTTTGCACATTATAACCTTCACCAGGAGATTGATTACAAAGAAGAAAAGTTCTGGGAAAAGTAAACCAAAAAAATTCAACTATTTTTAATTTTATCATTTACTGCTAATTTGTATTTTAAGCATAGCATAATTTTATTGCCATTATTTTGAACATATTTAAATGCTATCACCCTAAAGTGATCATTTCCCTTAATTGTGTGATTACATGCTTTTTTAAAGTTTGCTAAATTTAAAAGTGTAATTTTATTTTTAAGGGCAATTATTTTTAAATGGTTTCTTTGTTTTAAAGTGATGATAATGTTGTATAATTTCAGAAAAATTTCCTTGACTGGATCACTGTCAGCGTATTGTCAACAAACAGAAAGCTTTCTAAACAGAGGGCAAAACTTTTCATTTCACAACTAAAAAAAAAAAAAAAAAAAAAAAAAAAAGGCTTAAAACAATAACAGCACATTTATTTACAGACCACTTAACTAATAGAGGATTAATTTTCGAAGCTCTCATTAAAGTGCACTTTTTGTTGCAAAAGATTGCAACAAAAAAGCCTTGACTCTGGATGTATATTCAGCTTCTGCAGCAGAGGCTGCAGAAAACATCACCGGAGATGGCACTTGATAATTTCAGATGTGGACAAAGTTGGTTGGGCCATTAGAATAGGGGATGGGGTTGAATCAAAGAGATTGGAAAGAGAGTGGGAGTATGGGTGGGGCCTGCTTCTTATATTCTTGTGTGAGCATAGGAGTGACAGCAGGGGATAGTTGTAGTCTCCCACGCATGGCACGGCCTCCCTTACTGCGCTGCTCCCCTGCCCACACACAGCTCTTGTCACCTCTGGCTTCTGAAACACTGGAACTTCCCTGAACACATGATGCTGTTTCAAGCCTCTGATTTCCATGTTCTCTCTGGGATGCTCTCTTTTTATTCACACTGTCTGTTGACTGCTGCCCCCAACCCCCACCTTCTATTACTATTTGGAGTCCTTTGTCTCTGGCTCCAGATTGATCTGGTTGCTCCCTTAGGTCTATAGCATGGCTGTGATCCCAGATCTTCCTTTAACTACTGTGTCTGGAAAGCTTTGTCTTCTCTTTTTTTTAATTTGTTTTGTTTTTTGTTGTTGCTAATTTTCACTGGATGATATTTTTTTCATTAATGTTTTACAGAGAGTGAAGGAAGGGAGGGAGGGAGAGAGAGAGAAACATCGATGTGAGAGAGAGACACTGATTGGTTGCTTCTTGCATGTGCTTGACCAAGGTCAAGTGGGGATTGAACATGAAAGCCAGGTACAAGCCCTTGAGCGGGAATCAAATCCTCCACCCCTCGATCAAACCATTCTGTGCAAGGTCAGAGGCATGCTGTCTAACCACTGAGCATGCTGGCAAGGGCTGTTTTGAATGCCTGAGAGTAGCATTTGCTAGGTTATGTGGCCAGAGCATGTTCCGCTTTTTAAGAAAATGGTGAACTGTTTTCCAGAGTGGTTGGGCTATTTTAAAGTCCCACCAGCAATGTGTCCAGTTTCTCAGCATTCTTGTCAGCATTTGGCATTGTCACTATTATTATTATTATTATTATTATATCCACTTGTAGAGGCATGCAGTGAGGTCTCATTGGGAGTTGAATTTGCTTTGGCTTAATGGCCAATGACACTGAACATCTTTCCATGTTCCTATTTACCATCCCATTATCCTCCTCAGTGCAATGTCTGTTCATGTCTTTTGCCCATTTTTTAATTGCACCATTTGTTTTTCTACTGTCGAGTTTGAAAGTTCATTATCTATTCTAAGTATAATTTCTTTGTGGGATATTTTCTCCCAGTCCATAGCTTGTCTTTTTGTCCTCTTGATAGGGTCTTTCACAGAGAAAAATCTTTGATTTTTATTGGTCCAGTCTACCAATTTTTCCTCTTTCGAGCTGTGCTTTTGGTATCACTCTAAGAACCTCACAATGAGTATTTCTTAATCCATGTCCCCATTCCCAGGGCCACGCCCTGATTCCCACACATTTCCCAGACTCACTGTTTATTCCCAGTGGAGAGAGGACACCCTTGCCTGCAGCCCCGAGAGGAGGAGGACCTGGAGAGGCAGGGAGGGAACACCCCTAGTTACCTGGCAGGAATCGTAGCTCTTGTTCGCATACCCAGCACACAGCATGTTTTTGGTAAGCTTTGGAAACACCTTTGTACATTCCCTCCAATCCATGATGACTATTGGCACTTTCTTCAGGTCACTGGACTCAGAGTTTTTGTCATCTGGCCCAAAGAGAAAGCACATCAGGAAAGGCGCTGGATAGCAGTCTGTGTGTGTAGGTAATGCAAGCGACCTGCTCTCGACCACCCTGTGCATCCCTGCTGCCCTCCACCTTCCTCCACATCCTCACTTTCCCCCTCCCCCTCACTACTTCCTTCCCTCAATCCCATACAGCTCACTCACTCCATCACCCCAGGTTTTCCCATAATTCCCCACCTACTTGAATCACTCCTCCCATTCAAAATTAGACCCCTGCTTCCAAGAAGACTTCCAGCTTGACTCCAACCAGCCCTACAGACTTGATCTCTCGGAATTGGCTATCGGTCATTTCTCAGCACAGTCCTACCTCCTCTTCCTGCCTGCCATGGCCACTTTTGATGATAAGAGGATGGCCCTCCCCTGACACAGGACTGCTGAACGTGGACCGGCACGCCCACTGGAAAGTTTTCCAGTCCTCTGGGCAGGGGAAGTTGGCTGCAGGTCTTCACAGGGGACTTGCCAGGGCCCTTTCCAGCCGGCTTCCTTCTAGCTCACTAACTCTGACCACATAGACATTTCAAAAGTCTTCTCCTTATTGACTACTTTTAATCTGGAGGCCTCCTCCTTCACTTCTTACTCTCGAGGGGTGCCTGGTGCACAGAAGCAGTCACACGCCAGTGGCCTCTAGCTACTGAAGTCCTGCAATACCTGCCATTTTCCAGGCCTCAGCCTGAGGCAAAGCGTCCCTGTGGACCCAGAGTCTCTCACGGGCCTGGAACAGGGCTGTGCTGTTCCCACCCCCTACCTATTGGCTCTTGCTTTCGTTGAGTTTTCTTTGGGGACAGTCCAGCAAGGCTTTCATAATCCCTCTCTGCCCTGGGACAAGTTCCTCCTGTTTTGGCCGAGTAACAGTGAAACAACAGGTAACAAGTACCAACAGATTCTCTGGCTGGGCAACCCTCCAGGGCCATCAAAGGTCTACGCTGGGACAGGCACCGTGAACGCCTGTACAAACCAGGTGGGAGACATTGGTGTGTGAATCAAGGGAGATGTGAGAGAATAAAGAGGAGAGTGGCCCCTGGCAAACTGGAGAGTTTAAATTCACTTACACAAGCAAACAAGACTGCTGTGTGCTGGCTGAGCACGACCACACCCCGGGCTGTCTCAGACCTGGCATCTCAGCCTGGGCCTTGGGGTGATGCTTCCTTGGCCCTCGGAGGCTGAGACTGGGCCTCTTCGAGCCTCTGCTGGGCAGGAATGTGCTCCAATGCAAGTTCTTTTCTTGCCCCTGCCCCTCAGCCCTCTCTCCTTTCACCCTCCTCCTGCCTCCTTTAGATTGAGTGGCCGATCTCCAGATGCCTGTGATTGGTGATTCCCCCAACAGCTCTCGGAAGCTACTGCGTGGTCACATACCAGGTTTGGTCTGCCCCCATCCTGCCACCCAGCATTTGTTCCACTTGGTGGGGCCGGGCTGCCTGGGCATGCAGATAGGTTCCTTCAGGCCGCTGAACTTGATCTCCGTGTTCAACAGCAGCAAGGCGATGTCGTTGTCCATGGTGGACCTTTCGAAGTTCTTGTGAATCACTATGCTGGTGACCCCCTTCACTTCCAGGAATGGGCTCTGCAAGTCGTTGGTTCCCAGCACAATGCTCAGGTCCATGGGACTGGGCGGCACAGAACCGGAGAGGGCAGGTAGAGGGGAAGGAAAGTCACAAGCACCCAGAATTTGCTGTGCCCCCAAAACCTACATCCCATATATTTCTATGGGCCTTTAAAACTTGTTCTACCAGGGCTGTTGCTAAGAAGATGTGATAATTTTTAAAAGGTAAAAAAGGAGGGCGAAGCAGTCTTTGTGGGCAGACCACAGTGACACGGTGCCCACCACAGTCCCAGAGGTGTGGAGGAGACAATCCCTCCTAATGGGGCCAAGGCAGAGCTTGCTTTGGCTGCTCCAAAGAGCCCACCACCTGGCACAGACCAAACCAGCCCACAGAGAGGGAAGGTAGGATTACATCGATTTGCCTGCCAGCAACTAATAGACATCAGAATGGAGTTTAATCCAGACATGCCACTAATTAAACAGGAAGAGTCTTCAGTCATAATTCAGGAATTCCCTCCAGGCAGAATGGCCAGAAACTTTCCAATAGCCAGTGTCTAAGTATCCCATGTGGGCAGATGCAACAAACTATGTGGCCGTGCCACGGAGAAACTTTCCCAGATGTTCCATTTACCCTTCAAAGTCAGTTGGATCTCAGTTTCCCTCTCTATAAAACACAGTTTTCCTTCTACCTGCCTTAGAGGGTGGTTGTATGATGAAACAATAGAGGCAGTTGCTTACATGGTCACCGGGCCACGATTAGTAATCAGTAAATGCTGCGTTTGCTACCCATCTCCTGGAGCTTAAGGAAAACTCTACAGGGAGGAGGGAAGTGGGGGTCCCATGGCCTGGAAATCCAAGCTTTCAGAAAGAAGAAAATTTCTTCCTGGAGGGATTTGTCTGTCCTAGGAGAGGTAAGCGGACCAAGTCCTTTAATTCTGCCAGGCTAGATACTCCTGGAGTGTGTGATTGCAGGGAAGCCCTAGTTACTGGCCCTGGGTGACCTCAAGGTGGGCACAGCAGAAGTTCACCGCCTCCTCAGTCCCAGGGCCATCCTGTCTGACTTGGGACTGACAGGCCCTGGGCCTCCCATTAGCAATCAGGTCTGTAGGGGATGCTCCGGAGGTGGACAGTGTCAGAAGCAACGGGGATGGGCTCTTGATACTTACTTTAGTTCATCATTAGATAAGCAGTGAGCCGCAGTGACAATCCACCAATTGTTGATGATCGTGCCGCCACAGAAATGTTGATTTCCTGCCTGAATACTCACCATCCATGGGAACTCACCCTCCTCAGCCTCCATCCCCCCTATGATTCTGGAATGCTGAAATTCTTCCTCATAAGTGGGTCTTTTGCCGCATGCTGGTGACATGGAAGAGGAAGGAAGGGAAAAAATGAAACCACTCAATCAATATCTATAGGAGGTCTCTAGGTAGCTACCATTATGCTCATTCTAGACATGAGGAATCTAAGGCTGGCTCAGGGAAACACCAGGTACACGCGTAAGCCAGCAGATGCTTTATGTTTGTAGCCAGCGCCTGGGACATGGGTCAGAAGTGTTGGCTCTGCCCCCTCCAGCCTTGTGATCCCAGGAGAGTTTTCACTGAGCTTGTCTCTGCTCTCACCCAAGAGAAATCAGAGGAAAAGATTTTTCCAACACCAACTATAAAGTGGCAGGCAGAATAACACTTCCCTCCCCCAAAAATGTCCATGTCCTAATGGACCATGTCCTGGTGGATAGTGCCTTATAAGGCAAAAGGGAGTTTGGAGAAGGAATTAAAGTTGCTAATCCGCTGATTTCAAAATGGGAAGATTGGACTGGCCGGCGTGTCTCAGTGGTTGAGCATCGACCTATGAACCAGGAGGTCACAGTTCAATTCTCTATCAGGACCCAGGCCAGGTGGCTGGTTTGATCCCCAATAGGGGGCATGCAGGAGGCAGTTGATCAATGATTCTCTTTCATCATTGATGTTTTTATTTCTCTTTCTCCCTTACTGTCTAAAATCAATAAAAATATATTTAAAATAAAAGCAAACTGGGGAGATTGTCCTGGATAATCAGAGTGAGCCCAGTGAATCTGAAAGGTCCTTAACGGTAGTGGATCAGGCAGAAGAAGAAGAAATGTTACTAGGGAAGAAAGGCAAGGAATTGCAGTGCTGCTGGCTTGGAAGATGGAAGAAGGGGCCCTCAGCCGAGGGATGGAGATGACCTTCAGAAGCTAGAAAGGGCAAAGGTTCTCCCGAGAATCTCGGAAGGGAATGCAGTCCAGCTGACACCTTGATTTTAGCCCAGGGAGACCCGTGCCCGATCTGCATTCATCAGAACTAAGTAAGATTAGAAATGTGTGTTGTTGAAGCCCCTAAGTTTGTGGTGGTTGGTTTCAACAGTCCTAGGGTACTAATTCATGTGGAAAATCAGAGTGGCTCCAGAAAGGGCCTGAACCTTCCAGAAGCCCTGAACTGTTCTAGAACATTGTGTTTCCTGGGAGGCTGAGAGCACAGGCTGCAACTGCCTGTGCAGAGAAGAAAGATCTGTCTCTGGAGAGAGAGTCCCAGCCCAGCCCCCAGGAGAGGAGCCACTCCATTAGTATTTGCTGTAATCAATTAATTAATCAACGAGCTCACTAACCAACTCCCTCCACTGCCTCCAATGCTCACCACTGACTAGGAGAAGGGGACGTGAGCAGGGACTGGGAGAGCTGCTCTGGCCATGGGGGGTGGGGGGACATGGGAGGAGTCAACATACCGAGATGTGCACCCCTGGCTTGGGACATGAGCAGCAAAACTGATAACAGGAGCATGGCCCTTGGCTTTGCTGCTGGCCCAGGAGGTGGCGGAGGCCAGGGCTGAGGGGAAAGACCCTGCCATTGCCTCTCCTCTCCCAGCCGGCCCAGCTGGTGATGTCACAATGGGTGGGGTGCTTGAGAACTTGGGTCCTGCAGGCTTCTCTTCTTGCCATTTGTTCCTAACATAGTTGCACAGAGGGCTCTCGTCCTTGAAATCATCTTGTTTGAGATCTCTCCCCGCTGACCTGGGGATGGCCTACCCTTCACCAAGTCCTTGGTAGTCAGCTTGCTTGTGGTCCCTGCCCTAAGAAGCCTGTTTCAAGGCTCAAATGCCTCCTCTCTCACAGAACCTGTCATGTCAGAGGTCTCTGTGAATGTGCGCCTGAGGCCTGAACGAGGGACTGCCAGGCTGGACCTTGAGGATGGGGAGGAGCTCAGGGAGCCCAGGGGGCCTCCCCCAGCACTAACGCGGAGGGATGGCAGTTGCCTCTGACCTGGGGCTGCCAACATGGACCTCAGAGGCTGGGTTCAGAGGCCTGGCCTTCCTTCATGCCCAGCCTAGCGGGTGACAATGCCCACTCTCACCACTTTTCAGGTTTATGCCACATGATTCCCCAACCCCCAGGTAAGTCCCTGACCACATCTAAAGATGAAAGGATCAGACTCACAGATGTAAATGCCTGGTTCATGGCTTCTTCTCACATCAGCAGGTTTGGTCCTCGGTCAGAGATTTGGACTTCCCTGTTTACCTCACACTTACCATGTACTGACTCAGGTAGACTGGACCCAGGCAACCCTCAGGACTGCCTCGCTGGCCGCTGGGCAGGCCCAATGGTTGGAAGTGAGTCTCGTGCTCATTTCAGTTCCTAACGTGCCCATGGGTCATCTCCTCAACTTGCTCATCTGCAGAAAAGGGATAACAGTGCTCACAAGTAAAGGTGTGAAGATCAAAACAAGATTATGCAACCCAGGTGTGGTCTCTTTGTACTACACTTCCAGCTACTTGCTCCTCTCCGTGGCCCCTCCCTGCAGCCACTCCTCAGCGCCCAGGTGTCCACTATCAGGGTTAGGCCACTCTGTTGTGTGGCCATGGATGGTGCTGTCCTCACCTGTCCTGAATAACACCTCATCTGCATCCTCAACAGAGCATCCTGGCCCTGACGAATTAAGGGCGTATGGGTAAAGGTCCCAAAGTTCCAGGCCACCTGGCCTGGCCTGCCACCAGGAAGCTCAGGGCTTTCCCTTTGTGCTTCCTTTGAACTCCCTCCCATGGCCCTGCCACCACCCCTGGCCAAATGCCTGCAGCTTCTCCTTTGCTCACCTTCCGTTGGTTTTGGGGGAGAGGAGAAGAGGAGAAACCTGGGCACGGTCTGACTGGGAGGATGACGGTGGATCCCACCGGTGGGGATGCAGGGATGACAGGCATATCCACCCAACGCTGCTGCTCACTTTCTAGAAAAGTATCCAAACAAAATCACAGCTCACCTCTAAGAAGACCCATTTCCATTGGGGCTATATCTCTCCTATGAACATGGGCCCTATTGCTTGTGACATTCATTCACTGCATGCCATTTCTTTGCCAAGCTTCTTCACAGTAACAGTGGGCTGCACCATGCCTGGATGGGATGCCTGGGTGAGACAAAACTGCCATGCCTAGTCACAACTCCAGAGGGCACCATTCCTATAGAACACAATGGGAATGGCTCTCCTCTGGAACTGGGTGAACATGAGGGCCCAGGTGTGGAGAGAAGCTCTACAAAAAATCTATAGAAATTCAAAGAGCAAAGCAGGCACATGATGACATAGTCTGCCCAGGACTGCTGCCTGGCTGAGGCTCCAGAGGTCCCCAGGGCAGCCCTATTGTAGTGACTTTATTTACCACCATCCTGGCCAGCAGTTTGGAACTGTTCTAGGGAGTACACTCAGGGCAGGTTAAGGCTGTATACAAATAAGTATACAGGATGCCCAGTTACATTTGAATTTCAGATCAAGAACAAATGTTTTCAGTATATGTACCCCCCTCTCCCCACATGCAATGCCCGAGTATGCAGTGTATCTGCCAACTCATCCTGCAGGGCTCATCAATCACAGTATTTCCACACTCAACCTTTCGTATCTCAATTCCGTCTGTTTCAGAGATTGAAGTCCAAACCCTCAGGAACATAGAATGTGACCCTGTGTGGAGACAGGGTCTTTAAAGAGGTAATCAAGGTAAAATGAGACCCTCGGGGCAGGACCCTAGTTCACTGGGACTTGTGTCTTTGTAAGCAGAGGAATAGACCCAGGAGTGTCCATGTACAGAGAGAGGACAGTGTGAAGAGGCAGCAAGAAGGTAGCCATCTGCATGCCAAAGGGATAGGCCTGGGCAGATCCTTCCTCAGAAGGAACCCAGCCCCATCAGTACCTTGCTCTTGGACTTACCAGCCTCCAGAACCAGGATGTTTCTGTTGTCTCAGCTACCCTGTCTGTGGCATTTTGTTATATGGCAGCCTTGGCAAACGAAAACATGCACCATCTTTAGGCTACCTCATCTCTTATCAGTATAACTGAAGCCACTTCCTCTACAATAGTCTCTTTTCTAGTCATCCTTTCTCAAATAATCTCCATGTTACACCCTGAATAATCTTTTAATGCACATGGATTATATGACCTGCTTTCATTTCACTACTCTCCCCATTAACCTCACAATAAAATCCAAATCTCTTCACAAGTCATAAAAGCTTTGATATCTGGGTCCAGAGTCCATGAAAACATGCCCAAAGACCCAAAGTTCATTAATGCCAAAGCAGATGATATAATACAGGACTCCTTAGGAGGCTCAGAGTCAAGGCCTGCAATGGAGTCTCCCTTAGTCTCCCCTGCAGACTCAACCAGTCTACCTTGCTCCCCTACTTCCTCTCTAACCCCCAGCTTACTGTGATGTCACCCAGGACCTTGTATTTGTGATTGTCACAATCTAAGCAGCTGCAGCTGGCATTTTATCACCTTGGGCTGGAGGCATAAGTTGGGCAATTCTGGGCTGGAATGAAAAGAAGATGCTCCAGTTTCTCATTCCACTGATCCTGGAGTTCACTGGCTACCCCAAGGATATTCCAGGTCTGTGCGAGGCAAACCCAGTGCAGAGGATGGGGAGAGGCCTGCAACCTCTTACCTGGCTCCTGCAGAGCTGAGCGAGAGGCCCATGGGGGTGTTGAGTGAGAGCAGATGGCCCTGGAAGTGAGGAGATTATAATCAAAGTAAATGCATTAGGCTCAGTGAATATATCATTTAAGATGATCCCCTAGGCCTAGGGTCTGGACCCAAAGTTCTGGAAGTACAAGGGACTTGGAACAACAATTTAGCAACTGCCTTTGCTTTTCCTTCTTTGTAAAGACTTTGGTCCAACACCCCGGGAGAAGCAGTGGAGCTGTGATGGCAGAGGGACTTAATGTAACTTAGGCCACCGGTGTCACATTATGTCCTCTCGTTCAGTGGGAAAAGTAATAGGGGCTGTTGCAGGAGCAAATAAGTTAATGCAGCATTTCCTCAAGTATGTTCCCTAGAGCCTCTCTCTTGCTAGAAGCTGTTCAGAGAGGAGCTCTATGGTCACCTTTTCTGTAAAGTCACAGCGGTGTTCCACATGTTAAGGGTTTTGAGAAATCTCACAGTAAGGAAAATGGTTTAATTTTATTTAATCCACTATTTCTGAAATGTTTCTGTGCACAAGACCGCCCTTTACCCCTACTTCCAGCCATATTTGTAACATTTTCTACTTGCTCTGTTGAAAATTACCTGTCCCTATAGTTTTCCCATTTTTCCTATTTGAGTGGGTTTTGTAAACAGATTTGCAGAATCCTCAAAATTTTTTTTAATGTCATTAGCCCTCTTTTTCTAATATGTGCTGCAAAATCTTTTCTCCAACTCTATTTTGGACATACAGAAATTTTAAATTTATGTACAATCCAGCAATATTTTTACTTCTGGTTCTTTGCTTTTATTTGATGAATTAGAAGGGGCTTTTTATTGCAATATTGTGTAAACATACCTGCAGCATTGTGTGAACTCTAAGATCAGGAACAAGACATGGATGCCCACTCACTCTTATTCAATATTAGAGGCCTGGTGCACAAAATTTGTGTACAGGAGATGGTGGGGAAGGTTCTTCAGCCCAGCCTACACCCTCTCACAATCCTGGATTGCTGGCTCCTAACTGCTCGCCTGCCTGCCTGCCTGATTGTCCCTAACCACTCTGCCTGCCTGTCTGATTGTCCCTAACCACTCTACCTGCCTGCCTGATGATCTCTAACCACTCTGCCTGCCTGCCTTATTGCCCCTAACCACTTGCCTTTTTGCCTCATTGCCCCTATCCCCTCTGCCTGCCTGATAACCCCTAACCACCTCTGCCTGCCTGCCTCATTGCCCTTAACCACTCTGTTTGTCTGCCTGATGCCCCTAACTGCTCACCTTCCTGACTGATAACTCCTAACTGCTCACCTGCCTGCTTTATTGCTCATAACCACTTGCCTGCCTGCCTTATCACCCCTAACCACTCGTCTGCCTGCCTGATTGCCCCTAACCACCTTTGCCTCACCCCCTGCTGCCGTGGCTTTGTCTGAAATGACATCCAGAAGGTGGTTTGGCTGTCCAGTTCAATTAGCATATTACGCTTTTATTATTATAGATAATACTGGAAGCCCAACCCAAAGCAATTAGCAAGACAAAGAAAACACATCCAAATCAGGAAGGAAGAAATAAAACTGTTGCTATTTGCAGATAATATAATTTTGTATGTAGAAAATCCCAAAGACACAACAAAAAAATTGTTTGAACTAATAAATGATTTCAGTAAAGTTTGCAGAATACAAAATCAACATACAGAAATCAGTTGCAATTCTATTCATTAAGAATGAAACATCTGAAAAAAGAGAAAATAATCCCATTCACAATAGCATCAAAACAAATAAAACACTTAGGAATAAGACTAACCAAGGAAATGGAAGTTACAGACAATGAAAACTACAAGACTTTGCCAAAGGAAATTGAAGAGACATAAACAAATGGAAAGGCATCCAATGTCTGATTTCAAACTATCCTACAAAGATTCAGTAATGAACACAGTATGATACAGGCACAAAAATGGGCATCCTGACAGTGGAACAGGATAGGCATCCTAGAATTAAATCCCCTGCTTATGTGATCAACTAATACTTGGCCAGGGATCCAAGATCACCCAATAGAGAAAATATAGTCTCCTCAACAAGTTATGTTGGAAGAATGGATATTCACATGCAGAGCAATGAAATTTGACCCCTATCTTATACCACTTACAAAATAAACTCAAAATGGATCAAAGACTTAAACATAAAACCTGATACCATTAAACTCTTAGAAGAAAGCATAGAGAAGTAGCTCTTTGACATTGGTCATAGCAGTGAATTTTTTCAATATGACAATACAAGGACAAAAGCAAAAGTCAGCAAATGAGACTACATCAATCTTTTTTTTATGTTTAACTTTTTTATTTTATTTTTTATTTTATTAAATTATTATCTGTGTACATATTTTAACAT